AGCCAAAATGAAGTACATAACAAAGCATCATCTAAATACTTTTTCAATATTATTGCACCAATATCAAGATAACACTTTTTCTTTTGTGCAATTCAATATTACAATAATATAATACAATGTTTCAAAATTTTTAGTAAACTGAGATAAAACTTTCATTTCGATTTGAAAATCTGCAGTCATTTACAAAGTTCTTGTGTTAGAATGATCTTACAACATCAAAATTGGAATGTATAACGATATAACAATAAAAACAGAATGATGTATCATGTGAAACACCTCCTGAATCTTAAGTAAAATATTTTGTACAATCAATATTTAATATATTATGCACACTGCATAGGAACAGTAAATTGTTCTTTCTGTCTGTTTTCTTTAACAAGTGCCATAAGAACATTGAGTTGATTAATTGTATCTTCTGGACAAGTCACACGATGTCCAACAGTTAAGTCACTCTCATAAATTTCATAATCATTACCACCTTCTGCTGTTTTGTCACCAAAAAAGTGTATTTCATGATAGCCTTGAACATGTCTAAGGCAATATGTTTTATCCCAGCCAATAGGAAATACATCGAAGGATATTTGACCTCCTGTACATACAAAATAGTAAAAACATTTTTATGTACATTTTCATAAATCTTAAGTAATTTTCTTAATCTAATTCAACCATTATAATCAGCGAAAATAAAACAAGAATGACAATATTGTATGTCACTTAGGTGACATTTTAGTCAAAATATTTTGTGCTAACTATAGGAATGTATGTGTCAATTATTTCATTTAACACATTGCTGATTTGAGATATAATCTAAGTCGTCTATGCAGTAAAAGGAGTGTAAATATAAAAGATTAAATTTATGCAAAAAAAATGTAACAAATGATGTAAGTTTCTGTGGCTTACAATGTGTTCATAACAAAAATTATATACAATAGGATAAATGTAAATTTATATAATGTTTACCAATGCTATATGTTAAAGCCAGGTCTGGAAATTCTTTCTTGAGAGTCTGAATAAATTTCTGTCGAACTTGATTTTCCATATCATATTCATAAAATTGAAGGCGTTCTTCTTTTGTGCAATTTCGACCAACTGGTGACACATTTAGCATTCCAGTTCTGAATTCGATAAAAGTTCCTCTTTTAAAAGGCAAATGCAATTCCGATATGTACTTCAAGCAAAAGTTTATCAAATCCTGTAATGCATCTTCACCTATAATACTTTGAATTGTCTGAAACAGAAATTTGATTTTGAAATTAATTATACAATATATTAAAATATTCAATACATTATTTTAATATAAATTAAATGTATTTTTTACCTCAGTTTGTAATTTTTTACCATCTTTAAAAGCAATAAGTCCATTTTCTGCAAAGATATATTTGTACTTTTCAAACATGCTTCCACCACCCAACTGCTCCTTCAGTTTGACTAGATCTGATCCTCCAACAACAGCTATATCAAATTCCTTTCGTACTGTCTCCAACAGAAATTTCTCTACATTTGGTTTAATTGGCTGTTAAAAAAGTTCATAATAAAAATTGTAATTACAGAAAATATTGAAGTTTGTGAATAATTAAAGCATATTCTATGTATTTGATATTATCATTTATTGGATGCATATATTGTTTTCCTCTAACAATTATATTATATTATAACAATTCCTCTAACAACATTTTAACATGGACGACTACTTTTAGTTTAACAAACTACATTTATCATAAAAAAAGTAATATTTGCTAGGATCTATGAGAAAGAAGATATTATGAGCTACTTAAAGTCACTAAAACACATTTAATACAATGGTGTACATTTAATAATATCAAGAATTTTTAAAATAACTAGATATTTAATGGTCTTTAAATAAATGAATAATATATAATGTTGCTTCTTCAAAATGTTTAGTCTAATGTTATAATGATTATGTAAAAAGGAATAATACAATTATGTTCTATGATCTTACTATACCTGTCATATTCTCTTAATGTTTAATTATATTATAATAAATAAATATACAAAAATGAGCAAATTTTACACGTATCTCATATAAATGAAATATACCTGTCTAGGATCGGTAAGAGTACCATCAACATCGAACAAACATATTATCTTCTTAGTCATATCGAAATAATTTTCTCCAATGGCTTACTCTGAAACACAAATTTTCACCTTAATCTGATAACAGAGCACACGTTGCATAACAATGATAAAACAAGAAAACATTGAAAGTGTAATATACTTATAAATTTAGAAGAAATGCCTTTATTATTAATTCTACTACTAAAAAACGATACTTCAAAATATGTGAATAATATTTGTACTTGTAAGTCACGTGCAAGGCATTTTCTATCATTACATATAACAATCCCCCTCCATATATGTATAGCGTCCCCATTCTTTCTGACAGATTTGAAATGCCTCCCGAGATTGAGGGACAGCGTAAAAATTTGGTACATAAAATAAAACAGTATTAATTCGCAAGAACAGAAATTAATATAAATACTGTATTCTTAGAAAGTGTTTAACAGTACAAAAAATGAAAAGAGTACATATACCTAAGCAAATGTGATATGAACCCCCTTTTCATTAAGCTCTCAATTTCGTTTTATAAATGAAGTCAAAATTTATAAATCGACGAATCAAAAGAAAAAACAATATATTAAAATTCAAATATCTTTAGAATGTACTGAAATGACAAATTTTCTATTAAAATCATCAATCCAATGAATTTTAAAATGCATCACATATATCGTGGAACATAACCTTTATTAAAAAAGAAAAAAAATCTACCTACTGTAGTATTATACTATGTAACTGTACAAAAAAATTAGTGTAACCATATTGAACGTTTCATTCAATATGTTCGGATCGAACAAAATTCCTTCCGTTTTCGTCGATTTTTAAGCTAATCGAGTATTGTAAAAAGTGATTTGTGAAAGAAGATATTACGGACGATAGTGTCGATACGTGGCCAGTTTGATATACTGTTTAACACTTCTATCCCATCTACTCGATCAACAATGTTAGAAAGAATCTGGCCGAATAAATTATATTTTCTTATCATCCTTATCTTATTTGATTTTCGCAAATCATATGCGAATATTGCCACTCATAAAAATGCTGTATTAATCCTGGGTAATAAGCTATTTTGTTCTCATCGGATAATTCAGAAGTTTTTGTTATCTTACCTTACATTAATTTAGTTTGCCTTATATGAAAATTGTAAACGGAAAAAAAGTTTACGTAATACTGTCAATATTTATATACTGAACTATATTTTATACAAATATTTTTTCTTTATATAAAAAATTCTTTACTTAAAATGTTTATTTTTGTTTAATTAATTAAATTATGTATTGTATGATATATCTATTCTCTAATTCTTTTTCACCCATAAAAAATGTTGCATTGATTTATATTCAGTTTGACTACAGGTATATGTAAAATATAGTTTAACGATGGTTGCTTTACAATTTATACACATGGAATATATTAAATGTTTTCTTACTATAGACCTATTGATGTAAGAAAATATTACAAAATTTTTAATTTTGATGTAGCCGACGATGGAGGATTTGAAATGCGTTCCTATTTAAATAAAATTTGTCAAACCCCTAATTTGGATAAGTTGGCGAAAGAAAGTTTATTATTTAATAATGCATACACATCGGTTAGCAGCTGTTCCCCTAGGTATAATTAATCTTTTCCTTTTATCTTAAAAATTATATTTTATAATTTTAGTATACATAACTATTTTTAAATTTTAGTCGGTCTTCTTTACTAACTGGTTTACCAAGTCATCAAAATGGAATGTATGGTCTTCATCATGGAATTCATCACTTTAACTCCTTTGATAATGTTCAAAGTTTACCAAAAATATTAAACAAAAATAGTATACGAACAGGTAAATCTATATCGAATAGTAGACATATTGACTTTAGATAACATTATTTTAATTAGAGCAATATTTTTTTTGTAATATTTTACTTTGCTACTTGAGAACAGTAATATATGTAACGTTAACACTGCTATAAATAGATTGCTTTTCATTTAAGAATACTACTGTCTGCTAGAAAAAAGGAGAATTAAATTCAAACTAATAATTACGAAAATTCATAAATAGTATTTGACATTTTTTTAGGTATTATTGGTAAGAAACACATAGGTCCAAATAGTGTTTATCCATTTGACTTTTCATATACAGAAGAAAATAATTCAATCCTTCAAGTTGGCCGCAATATTACGAAAATTAAGCTTCTAGTCAGGGAGTTTCTGTCTTACAATAAAACGCAGTATGAAATCATCCAAATTATCTCATACATAATCATGTCATACATTTTTTAAAGAAGTACTAAAAATGCTTTTACATTTTTAGGCCTTTCTTTTTATATGTTGCATTTCATGATCCTCATCGTTGCGGCCACTCTCACCCAGAGTATGGAAATTTTTGTGAAAAATTTGGCAATGGTGATGTGGGTATGGGCAGCATCCCTGATTGGAATCCAATATATTATCAATGGGATCAAGTGAAAGTTCCTTACTTTGTTCAAAATACAGAAGCTGCTAGACGAGACATCGCTGCTCAATACACAACAATTTCTCGTTTAGATCAAGGTATAATTACAAAATGACATTTCAAAAACTATATTAATTAAACTAATGTAATTCCGTTTTATCAATATTTATTAATAACATGATAAATAACTTATTGTCTATCAACGATAGGAAGTATATACACATTACGTTCGAAAATTAATCACAAAAATTTGAAATTTTTAAGGTGTGGGTTTAGTTCTAAAGGAACTTGAAGATGCTGGTTTTAAAAATGATACATTAGTTATTTACACATCAGACAATGGCATACCATTTCCAAATGGTCGAACAAATCTACATGAACCAGGTATTGTCAAACATACTTTATACAGGATTGACCATATAAAATGTTGGAAGCTCTTTTTTCTGACACTATAACAATCATTGCTTTGACTTTTCTTTTTAATCAACTTGAGTACAATTAACAGGGACAGGAGAACTGATTATTTGGTGTATAAGAGATTTTTTTATGATGGTTGCTAGAAGAATAAAAAGGACTCCCCTACACTTTTCTTAAATGCAATATAATTTATCTCTTTTGGAACCATTTTTTTAACTTGTACTTTTAGTAAATATTTTTTGTTATTATGTATGATTAGAATACGATGTTTCTTAAAAATATATTGAAGAAAGGCTCTTTTTACTCTCCTAGCAACCATCATACCAAATGTGTTTTACACCAAAATATGAGTTCTCTTAATTTATTTGAATAAAAAAAGTATTAAGTTGATAACTGTCATAATTTTAGAGGGGACAGCTTATAACAGTACCCTATGTACACATCGAAAAGAAAATGACTTTTAAGTAGGTTTGAAAATACTTGCTATATACAAATAATGAACTTTTAGGTTTGGAAGAACCTATGATGATTAGATCACCAATCCCTGGACATAGAAAAAATAGTGTAACATACAGTTTGACATCATTATTGGATATTGTACCGACATTATTAGATTGGTTTAACATACCCTATATGAATCAATCTTCATCTGATGTAAAGGAAGTTTCTTCTCCACAATTAACAGGAAAATCACTTCTTCCACTTCTTGATAAAGGTAACATAGATGAAAACATAGATTGTTCCATCTTGGTTAAAATAACTCCTAACATTACTTTATTGTATATTTGTATATGCAGAACCTGTTGAAAATGACACTGCTGTTTTTGCCAGTCAAACACATCACGAAATTACTATGTATTACCCCATGCGAGCTATCAGAACTAAGAGATATAAGCTAATACATAATATTAATTACAAAATGCCATTTCCCATTGATCAGGATCTTTTTGTATCACCGACTTTTCAGGTAACCTGGAAAAAATTAAATTACGAATACTAAACTAAAATACTTTGTATAATGTATCCTAAGTTACTGGAACAGGATGTTATAAATTATGTTTTTTTTTTGTTTTATCTCTACAGGATCTTTTAAATAGAACTAGAAACAATCAACCGCTTAAATGGTACAAAACTTTAAAGAGTTATTATGAAAGACCAGAATGGGAATTTTATGATCTTAAATATGATCCAGAAGAAAGGAATAATATTGCATCTAAGACGTCTATGAAGGTAAATATGAGTAGTTATATCATTTTTATTCAAATAAGTTTATATATTTGAAATATAATTTATATATTTTTATATGTTAGGAAACATTTACCAATCTACAAAATAGATTGTTAAACTGGCAAAAAGTAACAGAAGATCCATGGCTTTGTGCACCAAGTGGAGTTCTCATTGGAGATAAGACTGAAAGTCCTCAGTGTATGTCACTTGAAAATTTTCTCTAGGTGTGACTTAATATGTCAGATTTTATTAACATTTTTAGAATTATGAAATACTCATTAATATTTAACTATTATTAATTATTTTAACTTGTTGAAAGTAATGAAATTTATGATTTATATATTGTGACAGTAACATTCTAAATAGCATACTATTTCATTTATTATATGTGGAGGGTTTAGAAGCTAATTAGTGTAAGATTATGTTAATAAATACACACATTTTTCTATATCTGATATTTCTATGAACAATGTTCCATGTTTACCACATTACTAAATGTTATAACAAATTTTAATGAGATTCTGCATTTCTATTGACATAAAAANTAACATTCTAAATAGCATACTATTTCATTTATTATATGTGGAGGGTTTAGAAGCTAATTAGTGTAAGATTATGTTAATAAATACACACATTTTTCTATATCTGATATTTCTATGAACAATGTTCCATGTTTACCACATTACTAAATGTTATAACAAATTTTAATGAGATTCTGCATTTCTATTGACATAAAAA